TTCCGGTAATTTTGACTGAAATAACTGAAATTAATTAACTCCGAAAAATAAAATCGGAACTGAAATATTATTATACTGATAAAAGTTGGGATATTACACAATTAATACTAGTAGTGGGTTTACAACTCTTTGTAATTTGAGTTAATCATATTAACTCTTATTCTTGAATTAACTCCTTAATTCAAGAATCCACATATCATGGGAACACCTAGCAAGTAGCATGAATCTAGTATTAAGTGAATAGCGAGTAAACCTATTTCGATTACAAGTCCATACATGTAAAATCCTTTCGACATCCAATTTCCCGATTAAATCTTGGGTATGATTTTGTCGAAACCCAAATTGATTTAATAACTATGATTCCATTTCTAGTTTATTAATTCGTGTATGAATCTCTATTCATCCCGCCTTCGCCAAGGACTTTGAATTACTAACTATGAAACACATAGAAAATCACTTATCTTCATAAGTGTCGAATCCTTTGCTGGTCACTGACAAACTTCCATACATATTAATGTAATACCCAAAATATCCCTTTATACGATTGTGCTAGCAACCAAAAGGATAAATCAAAGTAGAACATAATATGCACAAAGTTACCATCGTGCCTCAAGTCTAAGGATTAGTCATGTACTATTGTAACATGAAAATACTTATTCGACAAGACAAATATTTCATTAAGTATTTTCATACGGTCATGTTCAGTGTACTTGTTCTGTAACAAGCACCCACATATATGTATTTGCGTCACACGCTAATGTTGATGGAATGCAACATTCTTGTCCGACAAGCATACATACTATATGTAAGTCTTTTCTGGATTATTCGATACCCCTTTTCGAAACATCCTTCGACTTGGAACAATATTTAAAATCACAGCTTTCAAGGTATGTTCCATGATCACCATCTCTATGCGCAACCATACCTTATAGCCATAAGTGATCTAGGGATTTTATCTTAAGTGCGATTATATGATAAAAGCTTACTCTTAAGATAAAAAAATGCCTTATTTACAATATAATTCCAATAGATAGTATTTACAAGTAGAATACGTCCAATCCGATTGGAACGCTGGGTATCCTACTCTAACACAATTTTCATGTCCTCGCACCATGCCCGGATCCGCTTGCCATTGAACTGGGTTCCGTTGTCCGATACCAACACTTTAGGAACTCCGAATCTGCAGCATATGTTATCGTACAGAAAATGTATCACTTTCTCCTCTGTGATCTTTGCAAGAGGTTCATCCTCCACCCACTTTGTGAAGTAATCGACCGCGACAATCAAAAACTTTCTCTGTCTAGTTCCTTGGGGCATGGGCCCAACCAGGTCGATCCCCCATTGGGCGAACGGGATGGGAGAACTCATCGATGTCATGGCTTCGGCCGGTTGGTGAATAAGTGGGCCGTGCTTCTGGCATTGCAAACATTTCCGCACTATCTCCTTTGCATCTTCTCTCATCGTTGGCTAGAAATATCCTGCCCTTAGAGCCTTTGCTACCAGGGAACCTGCCTTGCTGTGGTCGCTGCAACACCCCTCGTGGATCTCCTTCAACACATATCGCCCTTCTTCTCGAGTTACACATCGCAAGTGGGAGCCCGCGTGCGACCTCTTGTAGAGAATCCCTCCGTGCTCAAAAAATCTCCTTATTACTTTAACGGCCCCTTCCTTCAATTCTTTTATTATCCGTGCCCTCCAATCCTGGACTTCTTCTATCTCGACCACCTCCTTCTCGACCACACTCTTCTCCATGTGTAGCAAGGTCACACTTCTGCTCTTGCAATCCACCAGACTTTGTGCTATTTTAGCTAACAGATCTGCTCGACCATTTTCTCCTCGAGGTATCTAGATTAACTCGAAAGAATCAAACTGTCCCTGCAGTTCTTTTATCTCCTCCACATACTTCGCCATCCTTTCTTCCCGGACCTCAAACCCTTCTTGGAATTGACCCACCACCAACTGTGAATCCGAATGTACCTGCACTTTTCGAGCTCCGCCACTTAAGGCCAATTTGAGTCCCTTAATGACCGCCTCGTATTCTGCTTCATTATTCGATATCTGGTAGGCCACTTTGATTGCAAACTCGAGGCTATCACCCTTTGGCAACATAAGTACGATGCCTAGGCCACTTCCGGCCCTCGACACCGATCCATCTGCAAACACCTGCCATACTCCTTCGAACTCCTCCTCTTTCTTTGTCCCCTCTTGTATGAAATCAGCTAGTGCCTGGGCCTTGATCGCCCTCTGTTGCTCATAAACAATCGTGTATTCGCTCAGCTCGACCGCCCACTTGACTAATCGACCAGATATGGAAGGTCGACCTAGCATTTCCCCCAATGGCATGTTCGTCCGGACCTTCACCTTATGCCTTAAAAAGTATGGTCTCAGCTTCCTTACGGTGACAACCACCGCCAAGGCCCCTTTTTCAATCTCTGAATACCTCCTCTCCGCGCCTTGCATCACCTTACTCACGTAATAGATCGGAAATTGAGCTGTTCCTTCCTCCCGCAGTAACACCGAGCTCACTGCCGTCTCACTAATGGACACATATAACACCAAGTCCTCTCCTAGCATCGGTTTTGCCAATAATGGTAGATCGACCAACACCTTCTGCAACTCCTCGAATGCTTTATGGGCTTCTTCTGTCCATTGGAATCTCGAGCTTTTCCTGAGCGTCTTAAACAGGGGCCCGCTTTTCTCAGCTACCTTAGAAATAAAGTGGCTCAGGCCTGTTATTCGACCAGTTAGGATCTGTACTTCCTTCACCTTTGTGGGGGGCTGCATCTCGATCACCGCCCTTACTTTCTCCGGGTTGACCTCGATTCCCCTTTTCGTGACCATGTAGCCCAAAAACTTCCCAAATTTGACCCCGAATGAGCACTTAGCAGGATTCAGCTTCATCCCATACTTCCGGAGGGCCATGAATGTTTCTTTCAAGTCGTTTACATGGTCAATTTCCTCTTTGCTCTTTACCAGCATATCTTCTACGTACACCTCCATGTTCCTTCCCAGCTGATCCTTAAAAAATTTATCCACCAACCTCTGATATGTTGCCCCTGCATTCTTTAGACCGAATGGCATCACCACATAGCAGTATGTTCCTCGGCTCGTCACAAAACTGACCCTTTTCCAATCCTCCCGCGCCAGTGTAATCTGATGATAACCTTGGGATGCATCCATCAAGCTAAGTAGTTCACATCCCGCCGTGGAGTCGACCAGTTGGTCAATTCTAGGTAGTGGATACAAGTCCTTCGGGCAGGCCTTGTTCAAATCCCGAAAGTCTATGCACATCCGCCATTTCCCTTCTGACTTTGAAACCATCACTGTGTTCGATAACCACTCTGGGAATTGGATCTCATTTATGTGACCCGCCCTCAAGAGTTTCTCTACCTCCAACTCGATCACTTTATCCATTTCTGCTCCATGGTGTCTCCTCTTTTGCTTCACCGGCCTCACCGTGAGGTCGATGTTCAACCGGTGCTCAATAACTTCGGCCTTGATGCCCGTTAACTCCTCCGTCGAATATGCGAACACATCCGCAAAATCTCTTATCACCTTAATTAGCCTCGATTTCACTGGCTCCTCCAATTCCTTCCCGATCTGAAATTTTCTCTCTTCGCACCCCTCGATCATCTGTATCTCCTCCACTTCGCCACCCGACTGTATTTCTGGATTCTCCTTCCCCTTCTCTGACATATGTATCTCCTCCTTCGATCTCGACCCTCCCGGTCGATTAATTCCCTCCCCCTTAAGGTACATCTGTCTCCTTGCTAACTGCTTGTTGTTGCTCACAGTGGTCTGGTAGCAGCTTCTCGAGGTAAGTTGATCCCCAGCGATCTCACCAACATTTTCGCCCACCGGATATTTGATCGTCATGTGGTACGTGGATACGACCGCCTGGAACGCGTTTAGGCTCGTCCTCCACATTATGATGTTGTAGGATGATTCAGCTCCTACGACCATGAATCTCACCATCTGAACCTTCCGGGTCGCTCCCTTTCCCAGTGCTACAGATAGACTCACTTCTCCCATTGGCATGACCTCTCCGCCATTAAAGCCATACAAAGCCGTAGCCACCGGCTTCAGCTCCATATTCAACTCCCGATTGATTTGCACAAAGCAATCATAAAACATGACATCGATAGAACTCCCTGTGTCTATAAACACCCTTTTCACATCAAAACCTGCAACTTCAGCCGTAATTACCAAGGCATCATTGTAAGGCACCACCACCCCTGCTGCATCCTCGGCTCGAAAACTGATTTCTGGTACTCGGGTCGTGATACTCACCTCTTCCCTCTTCCTTTTCATTGCTCGAACATGGCCTCTCCTCGCATTATTCGAGCCCCCGTCAGTCGGTCCTCCTGAAATCATATATATCGTGCCTCTCTTCACTTGGCCTCCATCTCCTTCTCTTTCCCGCTCCCAACTTCCTCGCCTCCTCTTCCCCTCATCTCTTTTCCGCCCATCTCGACCACCTCGTGCATCCTCATCATCATCTTCCTCACTCCTCTCCACCGAGTCGTCCCGACACCTTCTCTTCTCCTTCCTCCTCCCCTTATCCTGATAAACAAACTCCTTGAGGTGCCCTGCTCGAATAAGGCGCTCAATCTCGTCCTTGAGATGCCGACAATCCTCAGTAGTATGGCCATAGTCTTTGTGAAAGTGGAAATATCTCCTCGACTTCGGTTGGGTTGGCCCTTCGAACCTCGACCTTGGCCACGTCACATCTTTCCCATCTATCCCTTTCTCCATGGCCATCAAAACCTCAGCTACCTTCGCGTTCAGTTGGGTGTAATCATGGAATCTTTTCCCTCCAGAGATTGGCCTGTCCTTCCATCTGTTCTCTCGTCCCCGATCCTGCTTAGCTTGCCCCTCTCTCCTGGGTGAGGCTTTCCCTTTAGGCGAAACTGCTTTCTTCTTCCTCGACTCCCCTCGACCTAACTCCTCTAGTTTGGCAAACTCCGCCTCAGTTTCCTCGAGATTAATATATTTCCTACACCTCCTCAACACCTCATCATACGTACGAGCAGGAGTCTTAGCCAGAGAAGTCCGACACGGTCCTGCCCGCAAACTCCTAATCAATCCGCCTGCCTTGACCTCATCGACCGCCGATGGAATCTCCAAACAAGCCTGATTGTATCGAGCGACATATTTGCGCAGTGACTCCTTCTCGCCTTGTCTCATCGCCATCAATGTAAAATATGTTTTCTCTTGAGCCACCGCACTCGAATATTGATTTGTCAACTTTTCTGCAAAATCCTCGAAGTCCACTATCGAGCCTGGGGGGAGCTGTTGGAACCAATCGAGCGCTCCTCCTCTAAGGGTCGATAAAAAGGCCCTGCAACTAACAGAATCAGTATATCCATGCAACACAGCCATATTTTCAAATGTCCTCACGTGTCTCGACGGATCAGAAGTCCCATCGAACACCAAGTTGGTATTCTTGTAATTATTTGGCAAGGGTGCTGCTAGTATGTCTGCCGAGAACGGGTGTCCTCGAGCGCGTCTCTCCGCTCGACCATCCACCTTAGCCTGCAATTGGAGTGTTAGAGTAGTATACCCGGCGTTCCAATCTGATTGGATGTATTCTACTTGTAAATACAATCTATTGGAATTATATTAATTAAAAGGCATTACTTTATCTTAAGAGTAAGCATTTATCATATAATTGCACTTAAGATAAAATCCCTAGATCACATATGTTATAAGGTATGGTTGCGCATAGAGATGGTGATCATGGAACATACCTTGAAAGCAGTGATCTTAAATAAAGTTCCAATTCGATGGATGTTTCGAGATGGGATATCGAATAATCCATAAAAGAATTGCACATAGTATGTATGCTTGTTGGACAAGAATGTTGCATTCCATCAACATTAGCGTGGGACGCAAGTACATATATGTGAGTGTTTGTTAGAGAATAAGTTCACTGAACATGACCGTATGAAAATACTTAATGAAAGATTTGTCTTGTCGAATAAGTATTTTCATGTTAATAGTACATGATTGGTCCTTAGACTTGAGGCACAATGGTAACTTTGTGCATATTACATTCTACTTTGATTTATCCTTTTGGTTGCTAGCACAATCGTATAAAGGGATATTTTGGGTATTATGTTAATATGTATGGAAGTTTATTAGTGGCCAATAAAGGATTCGACACTTATGAAGATAAATGAATTTCCTATGTGTTTCGTAGTTAGTAATTCAAAGTCCTTGGCCAAGGCGGGATGAATAGAGATTCATAAACGAATTACTAAACATGAAATAGAATCATAGTTATTAAATCAATTTGGGTTTCGACTAAAATCATACCCAAGATTTAATCGGGAAATTGGATGTCGAAAGGATTTTACATGTATGTAATTGTAATCGAAATATGTTTACTCGCTATTCACTTAATACTAGATTCATGCTACTTGCTAGATGTTCCCATGATATGTGGGTTCTTGAATTAAAGAGTTAATTCAAGAATAAGAGTTAATATGAATAACTCAAATTACAAAGAGTTCTAAACCCACTACTAGTATTAATTGTGAACCTAAAAGGTCACACCAATTTTTGAATGAAGGTAAAATTCAAATAGTAATTCTAAAGAGTTAGAATTAATTGACAAATCTAATTTGATTAGATGTCAATTAAAGGAATATATTAAATTAATCAATTGGATTGATTAATTGGATTTTGGATATTAATTTAGTAATTAATGAAATTACTAATTAATAGTTGGACTTTAAAATTGGATTTTAAATTTCAATTCCAAATAATAATATGATTATTAAATAAGGAAATTGGAAGAAAAGATTAAAATAATAAAGTCTTGAAAAATGTTTTCAAGAATTATTATTTTATTATTTTATATTTAATATGATTAAAGATTCAAATAATTGAGAGACAAAATAATGGTAGTTGATGGTGGTTATAAACCACTCCACATTATTTATTAAAAGTCAATATTTGGTATGAATTTTTAAATAAAATCTGATTTTATTTAAAAATAATTAATTATCAAATATTTATTATTTTATGCTAAAATGTTTAGTATAAATAGGTGCAAAATGTTTGCACAAAATTTGCTAAGTCTTGAGCAAGATTTCTTCCAAGAGAAAATACATTCAAAGAGTTGAGTGATATATCAAGAAAGAGTTCTTGAAAATTTCCTTATAAATATATATATTCCATACTTATTGAAAAACCGAGTAGTTTCTACTAGTGAAGGAACTATTGTCGGAACCGGACTTCAAAAGGTGGATACGATTAGAGGGAAGACGTTTGGATTCCTAAAGCGAGTAGCATCAAGGAGTTGACGTTATCAAACCGGGAATTGATTTCCTCAATCATCATCGATTTTGAAGGAGTTCAAGAACTAAGGTAATTTTCAAAATTACTTATAATAAATCAAAATTTGAATTATTACATATTTTTAAAGATGACGATCTGTTAATTCGACATATGTATGTACGAGTTATGTATTTAATTGTTAAATACATGTTTTAAAAAATTTTAAATTCCGCTTCGTATAGCTCGTACGTTACAGGCGAACCCAACAGTGGTATCAGAGCCACGGTTATCATCTTTAAAAACAGATTTTGATTTGTTAATGTTTATATGATAAACAAGATAATTATAATGTTTATGTGATAAACAAAATAAATATAATGTTTATGTGATAAACAAGATAATTAAATGTTTATGAGATAAACATATTAATTATTAAAAAAAAAAAAAATAAGTTTTTTCAAGGAGCCCAGAGCTGACACGGGTGGTGACACGGGCTGGCAGCCCGTGTCAGAGGCCGTGTCAGGTGACACAACCCCTGACACGGGCCGTGTCAGGTTAAGTTACAAAATTGATGTTCAAAGTTGCTCTCGGCATTATGACACGATCACTGACACGGGCGTGTCATAGGCCGTGTCAGGTGACACGACCTCTGACACGGGCCGTGTCAGGTGCAATGAGCCTATCATATTTTAATTCATATGATGAATGGTTTAAGTTAGGGATGATCATGAGCCTTTTATTCAACATGATTGAATGCTGTATTTTACAATATGATTGAATGTTTGAATGTTTTATTTAATATGGATGAATGATTGTATTTTATTCAATGTGATTGAACGGATGTAATTTATCGAGACCTGCGAGTCTCTTGAATTATGATTTGTAAAATTTTAAGTTTTTGTATCGTTAAAAGATAAGATAAAGGTGGAGACCGTTCGATGCAAAAGGCCCACGCTTGTGTGGGTAATTTTACAAGTTGTAAATCTCGAAGGTCTGTGCTTGTACGGGTAGATAAAATGAACTGTAATAGAAGTAGTTCTATTTATTTGTTTTATCACGTACATAGGCATAGACCCATTTTGGCTCGAATGGGTCGTATAAGCAAGGACATGATCATCCCACCGTATGCATGCATTAGATGTATGTTAGGTTTATTTATGCTTTTGATTCATGCGATGGATGAAACGGTAAATAAACGTAAAGATGGTAAACGATGAGATCACGGAACCCTAAAGAATTAATAAGATTAATTCATATCATATTAATTACGGATAAAAATAAGCTGGGACTTATTAATCCAGGCCTTCCATCAAAAAGTAGACGACATGAGATGCTACGATGCTCTATCACTGACCATGAGTCGTGGGGTGGTTTTGTGTCGAAAGCTGTGATCCCTACTACGTATATTGATACTTGTAAGACGGATTCCTCTTTGTGTTGACCATGAGTCGTGGGACACTCTGGTGGGCCGTTATCATGAAAGTTTTGATGGGTTTGATTTGACATCGAGTAATATATACGGTCATATTCTTGAGGTATATAAGGAAAGGTGAGGCAAAATATCTTGAAGGTTGTATATTGATACAATTGTCAAAAAGTTGACTACCAGTATGAATGTTCCATGCGTACTCATATTCTTGGGATATGGAATATTTTTATTGGACTTCAAGCCCACTATGAAAATTAGATTTTCATAATTAAAATGGGGTTTAATTTAATTAGTGGGAGACATTTAATATTTAAAGACCTAATATTAAATGAATATGAATTCCATAGTCTGATTATTTTCTGCTTCGTGTGTTGTTTTGTAGATCAATCTACTAAATGGCTAAAAATTCAATCGCAAGTATCCTCGAGCAAAACAAATTAACTGGACCCAATTTTAATGACTGGCTAAGGAACCTAAAAATTGTTCTTCAAATGGAGAAGAGGGATTATGTATTGGATACAGCTCCTCCTCCTCCATCCGAAGATCAGACTTCGGATGAGTATGGAGCGTATTTACATCATAAAGATAACAACCTCCAAGCTCGGTGCTACATGTTAGCATCAATGTCTAATGAGTTGCAGAGACAGAACGAATTACTGAATGATGCTTCTGAAATACTCCTACACTTACAAGAGTTGTATGGTGATAGGACGCGGTAGATTAGATATCAGATATCTAAGGAACTTTTCAGGTGTCGTATGACCGAGGGATCTTCAGTTCATGATCATGGCCTGAAGATGATAGCTCTTGTTGAAAGGCTTTCGTCCCTAGGAGTCATTATGGATAATGAACTCTATGTGGACCTTATGCTGCAATC